TTTTCTCTCTAATATCATAGGTGACAAATTACTCCTTAATTTTGGAGCGAAATTTCAGCGTTAATTTTTAATTTCACATGTGAAATTACAAAATTGCCATGGTAACATCTCTTGTATCTCGATCAGAGCCAAGATGGTGTTGAGGTTTAAGAAGGTGACCCTTGGAGAAGTTACAAAATTAAAAGACGTGGCCAAAGATTTAAATACGCGAAAGAGCATAATTAACCGGGTGCGAGTTTTTGAGAAGTGGTGTGACGAAAATAGCTTTGAGAAAAACCTGGAGATGATTCTTCCCGAGCAGTTGGATAAAGTACTCGAGCGATTTTACGCCTCTGTGTGTAAACAAGAATAAACCAGTAAAAACAATAAGAGTTGTGAACATAATTTGTCACCCATGATATTAAAAGGTAATCAAATGGTTTTCTCGAAGTTAGGAAATAATTTCACTTACGTTTTGTCAAAATTCTGATAATTTTCCTTGCCTAAAGGCTCAGGAAATTATCAGAATTTTGACAAAATGCGTGGGAAACTATTTCCTAATTTCACTCATCGCCACTTGATCACACATACTTATCATCACTCTTCTGCTTGATTCTGTGTTGATATTGTAAGGAGAAATTCTGTCTTGATCACTCATGGGAGTTGACAATTTTTAAGTGGCTAGAATGACTCTAAGTATCTTGTTTATTACCTCCACCTCCTCCACGAACTCTCCCAAATCTTCTGCCAGGTGGTCTTGGAGGCCTAAAATGAGAATTTTAAATCTGATCACAACAACAAAAATCTTGCATCTCCCAGGGCTGTTCAGTTTTTCCCCGCCCTGATGGTCCCCTTATCCACTGCCCTCAAACTGGAATTTTTCTCTCATGTTTTTCCATCAAAGATTTTATTTTGACTGTAGAAAAGTTAAAGGTAAAGTCTATACTTGAGCCACATGGTTCACCCACCCAGAACTTATCTTGTTTTCAATAGCAATGAAATACTCTAGGAGTATCATTTCTCCCCCCTGAATGGGATGCTAGTGGATCACAGAATTACCCCACAGCATTTGATGAGGTACCTGAAAATTCACAAGTACCCTTAATATACAAATGAATAAAGGCTGATAGTTTCGAAAGAAACTGTTTGGGGCTGCGTCGGTGGGGGTAACGAAATAATTTGGATATATCAACAAAGTTGAAATGGTAAATTGGCCACCGTAACGATTACAAAAGCTGACGTTTCGAGCGTTAGCCCTTCGTCGGAGCGAATAGAGGAATTGTGGGTTGTGTGTGCTTTTAAAGGCAGAAAATGGAGCTACGTTATTGGTGGGAACATGGCAACGAGAAAAACA